TGTTTGTGATCGTCTTTAGGCAGTATTAAGACTGGGAGCTCCAGCTCCTCCTCCAATAGCCCCCTGATGGCACAGAGTACTGTCCTCCAAGCATTCTAATATCAGGTGCCCACCGACACTCTCCAAATGTCTTTTAGGGAGAAGCCGGGGGTGATGCCTTCTCTCAGGTTCCTCATCAGCCCCTCAATGCCCTGCTCTTGGGGCACACTTGCAAGTGTCCTCAGAACCCTCACCCAGGTCCATCTCCCCATCTTGCACCCTCCTGAACTTTCCTTCCCAAGCTAGGAACCCTTCCTGGAGACATGGCTACTGTAGTCGTCACAAAGTCCCTTGCTGAGACAGGCAAATTTCACCACACATTATCTTGTTATAAAAACCCAGGAGTGGGGCACCCTCTCTTGGGACCCCCCAAGTCTGGGAGGCTCTACTCTCCCACTTTACACTTTTCTATCTCAATAAACTCTCCCTCTTTACACTTAAAAAAAACAAAAACAGGAGTGATTGCCTCAGAGCTAGTCACTGTTTTCTTCCAACGATTTACAGGAAATTTATAAACACCTGAAGTTGAATTTGTTACTCAACAGAGCATCTCACATCAAACAGGAAGTTTGAAATAAATCATTAAGAAGCAGTTAGATGTGTGTCAACTCCCTGTATAGCTATCCTTATCTCAACCAGCAAAAACCCTTGTTCCTTCCTATTATTGCTTATACTCTCTCTTCAACAAAATTAGAGATAAGGGCAAAATAGTTTCTGCTGGGTATTGAGGGGGTGGAAGGGAGAGGGAGGGGGTGGAGTGGGTGGTAAGGGAGGGGGTGGGGGCAGGGGGGAGAAATGACCCAAGCTTGTATGCACATATAAATAATAAAACAATAAAAAAAAAGACGCAGTTAGATCTCCACCTATTAAAATCCTCCCACTCAGCTTAAATACTCTGCTTTCAAGTTGTCTTATCAGTCAGAAATAGTGGTCTCCTCCCACATTCTCCAATCCATGTCTACCTTGGTTGAATATTTATCAATTGTTCTAAGAGCATATGGTTAATAATTAGGAAATCCAGAATCAAGTTGTACTAAATTGAATAGACTCTCCCCAAAACATATCCACCAGAACCTCAGAATATGACCTTATTTGAATATGCAATCACATGTCCCTTAACAACTGGAAGATATTCTGAGAAATGTATTTATTGTTTGACAATTTCATCATTGTTCCAGCATCACAGAGTGTACTTACACAAACCTAGATAGTATAGCCTTCCACACCTAGTCTATATGTATGTGTGTGTGTTGTGTGTCTATACTGCTCCTAGGGCTATGGTAAACAAAGCAACATAAAAGCAAATTAAGCACAAGGGAACATGATACAATCGAGAGACTCGGTAAAGACAACAAGTCTGAGGCTGCTGCCAGAATAACACGGCATGCCATTTTCAGTAAACTTTTTTCATAAGTAGAAGGACACTCTTAAAATAACAATGAAAAGCATAGTACAGTAAACACATAAATATCATCATTTATTAACTGTATGGAATTGTACTTGCTATGCTTTAAATGACTGCCAACACAGTAGGTTTGTTTATACCAACATCACCACAAATGAGGAGCACTGTGATGTCATGACAACTACAATGCTACCACATGAAGAAAATTTTCAGCTCCATTATCATCTTATGGGACCACCATCATATGTTTTCTGAAACATTGTATGGCTCATGATTGTACTGCTTTGCAGAGGTTAAGATGGGGTCACACTGGCTTAGGTGAGCCTTAAATTCAATGATTAGTGTTTTTATAAGAAACACAGTAGGCAGTACAATGAAGAAGGCCTTGTAAAGATAAAGACAGAGATTGGAGTTATGCTGCTACAAGCCAAGGAATGCTAGGGATTGCCTGTAACTTCCAGGAGCTGGGATGAGGCCATGAAAGAATCTTCCCTAAAGCTTTCAGAGAGAGTAGGACCCTGTTGATTTTGAACTTCTAACCTCCAAAGTCATGAGAGAATAAATTCTGTTGTTTTAAGCCACCTAATTTATGGTAATTCCTGATGGTGGCCTGAGAAAGGAGTATACCATCCTATGCATGTCAGAATGCCAAACCACTGACAGGCTGCCTTGTGTTTGTACTACTTAAACTGTATCCTTCACAGTACATTTATTCACTGTCTTGTATTTCACAGTAAGGCAGATGGTGCACTTAGAAGTTGAGGTGGGGATGGAAGCTGTTAGGGAATGGGAAAGTGGTGGAATTACTGCAGAGAATGGCATGTTTTCTTGAAAATATGGGGAACCTTTATTATAGTCTGCCCCTGTGATTTAGCAGAGAAGGGGGAATTAGTTTGCTATTGAAGGAGATAGGGTGATTAGAAAGCAAGAAGGATTGGGAACTGCAAATCTTGCAAATACTACTCCAGGATCAGGCAGGTAGTGTTCAGTTGTGGTTGCTTAGACTCAGGTGTCTGGTCTTGGGAATGTTGAGAATATACCATAAAAAGCAAAATGCTAAACTTTCAGCAATAAAAAATTCCCCAAAATCAGGCGTGGTGTCACATGCCTGTAATCCTAGCACTCAGAAAGCTGAGGCAGGAAGATTGTAAGTTCAAGGCCAGCCTGCGTAGCAAAGTAAAACCCTGTCTCAAAAAAAAAGAACAACAAAAAAAAACATATTGGCAAGATCACCACTCTGTCTCATCTGGTCCAATCTGTTCCTCATTCCATTTTTTCCAGTACTGACCCAGAGCACACACTTACCGTTTTAGTTGACTAAATGAATAAGTGAATGAATATTGAGAATGGAAGAAAGTTGAACATGTCAGACAAGAAATGATAGTGAAAGACAGGGAAAGAGTCGAGATACAGTAAGGGGCATGGAATAGAGATATCTATGAGTAACATGCAGTAATTAAAAGCCATAACGGAAGCAAAGGGGACACTATTTCAACATTTGTTAAATCTTGGTAATGAGTTTAGGGTGTTTGTAATATTGTTCTTTATATTTTGGAAGGTTCAAAAGCTTTCATTTTAAAAAAGGACAAGAGTAATCTTAAATGGGTGCATCAAGTTGGGATCTTTCAAAAGACTTGCTTTGATGGATTCTGAATCCTTCACCAATGAAGCTGATACGGTTGCAGTGAGACACTTCATTCCCACAGTCAACCTACCAATACAGTCCTGTAGAGAGAACCTATAGAAATATACCTAGAAAGTTATAAAATATTCACTTTCTCGGGCTCTGTACTCCTACTCCTGAAAGTTTATACAAGGCCAGTGATAATTCAAAAGGAAAAAGGTTGGGAATATGTGGATGAAAAATTCTGTGGGGAAAAATTGGTGGCATGTGCCTTTAATCCTAGCTGCTAGGAGGCCGAAGTGGGAGGATGGCTTGAGCCCAGGAGTTCAAGACTAACCTGAGCAACATAGCAAGTCCCTGTCTCAGAAAGAAAAAGAAAAAGAAATTTTCTGTCACAAATTTTATACAATACTAAATTGGAAATAATTTAAGGTAAAAATGGAGAGTGCTCACCCATCTCCCACTAGTCATGCCACCTTTGTTTCACCCTTTCTCCTGAAGTCTACTCTCTACTAAGCAGACACAGTGATGCTTTCAGAATGAAATGAAACCACCTCACCACTTCTGTTCAAAATTGTCTCACCCTGTCACTGTTACCACTCTAGTCTGAGCCTGACTTAGAGCACTAGCTCCCTAGCTAGTGCCCCCTCTACCTCCCTTGCCCTCAGCACAACAGTGAAAGTGCTCCTTTTCAAATCATAAATCGGGTCGTGTCACTCCTCTGCTCAGAAGCCTCCAGTGGCTTCCGGACTGACTCAGAGCAAACCCGTATGACTCAGAGTAAACTCTGACAGTAGCACATAGGAGTTCATCTCCTTGCCTGTCTGTCATACAGGAGCCTTTTCCTTGGCTATTGCTTCTACTCTTAACGCTCTTTCTCCATGTCTGGTCACTCCCTCCCTCACCTCCTTCAAGTGAGAAATCCAATTCCTCTTCTCAGTGGGGTCTTCATCAACCACCTCACACAGTCTTATCCTACTTCCCTGCTTTTGTTATTCTTCTTAGCATTTATCAGCTTCTATATGAGAATATGGAAATAACTTACATAAAAGTTTCAAATGTCTTCCTGTCTCAAACATACTTATGCTAGAATATCAAGTTCATGAGGAAAGGGATTTTTATCTGTGTTGGTCACAGCTGTTTCCCTAGCACCTAGAACTGTACCTGGCACATAGCTGGCATTCAACAAACATTTGTTAAATCAAACAATGAATGGTTAGGTAAATTGGATTCCACCAAGCTGATGGAGGATTAAGCAATCAGAAAAGACTGTACTTGTACTATGTATCAATGTGGAAAAGCACATAACAGCATGTAAAAAGCAAAATCCCCGTGCTGTGATCAAAAACTACATAGGCATGGCTTTGGCAACATGGTTCTTTTGCTTTCATGTAAACACTGAGGTTTCCAAGTTTGTCCGTGGTCCTCTTGTCATTTTAATCTATCCGGTAGCTTCAGATATCATCTAGTTTATTTAGCATGTGGTCCAAACAATCCTGTTAGGTGCAGGCTCTATGCGAGCTTCTCATCCACGGGTATTGGTGGCAATACCACCCCGGGAATAGTCGTTTGTTCATCAGTCTCCTCTAGTGAAGTCGAGAACTCTTACAGCACAAGATGCTAGAAAACGTTAGTAAGGAGTAGTAACAAATAATAAAGCGAGCGCAACTGTGTGCCAAGGACCTCTAAGAAGCTACATACATTCCAGCAGCGCAAAGCACGGCCTCACTTGGGGGCGTGGCTTGAACACACGCCCCACCCCACCCCCGTGGGCGGAGCCACTCCGGAAATGCTCCGGCCGAGGAGCTGCAGACAGCATTCCTGTGGGCTGGCACTGATTGGCTGACACAGAGAAAAGGGCGGACCCTTCCGATAGACCCGCCTCGCGGGGGGCGGTGCCTGCGCCGGAGCCTCTAGGATAGGGAAGTTGCTGAGTCCTGCGCTCTGCGTCTGGACGCATAGGTCTGCAAGACGGTCAGCCCGAGGTGGAGCCGGAAGTGCTACGGTTAGGCCTCAGAGCCCCTCTGTTTGCCAAGGGGCGGTCGTTTTCTCCACCCCGCTCCTGGTCCCTTGTCCCCAGTGACCCAGAAGCCAGAGCCCCAGTCAGGGCGGGGCGGCGCAGCCCCAACTCCCGGACCCGGAAGAAGCGTCATCTCGCCCCTCCGCCATGGAGCCCACCGTGCCATCCCTCACCGAGGAGGACCTGACTGAAGTGAAGAAGGACGTGAGTAGCACTGCCTTTCCCGGGCGCCGCGGGGCGGGAGAGGAAAGCGGAAGCCCGGCGTCCGAGGACCGGGGGAAGCGTCGGGTCGGAAGAGCCACTGGAGGACCGCGGCGAGCTTTGCGTCCCCAGTGACCAGTGACCTGCTAAGTCACCTTGAATCACAAAATGGGGGCCTGGGTTTTTACTCTCGTCCAGCCGAGAGTTTGTTCGCAGGCAGCTTCCTGGGGGTTCCTCGCACCCCACCCCCACCGCCTGTACCCCCGCCACCCCCAGTGCGTTCTTGGAGCCTCTCTGTTACTTCGCAGCCGCTCAGGTTCAGCCTTGAGGCAAACTGCCCAGGCTGCCGTCTAACTGGACCAGTTAAAGGATCCCAAGCCAAAGAACAAAGGTGTGAAACTCTTGCAAAGGGGGCTGGGGGAAAGCTCCACAGCTGAAAGCAGAGTCTGGAATTCCCCTCGTAAGCAAACGCCCACATATTTAAATGGGAGGGGGCTACTATAGCAGAGAATTAATTTATAGACATTGGAAACATTAGCCAAACTATGCTCTTCTGCATGAATGATGCAGAACTGCGCCAACTTTAGTGTGTGTTTGTAAAAAAGTGATTTTTTTGTTGAGGTCTGACTTGTTTCTTTTTCCTTTACTTCTTTTTGCCAGATGAGGCCTAGATGAGCACCGCTTTACATTAACTCAGTTTAAAAACAGAAACTGAGAAGTGTGTTCTTAACACTGCAGTGCTTTTACAAAATCATCTTTGTGAACTTGACAGCAAGTTTTTGAATGTTCGTGTACTTCCAATTCCTTGCTCTTCCATCCCCTGTAAGGCTTATTACACTGTGCTCATAATTGGTATGACTCACTAGCAGGAGGAAATGGGATATGACTGGGACTTGTGCCTTAGTTTCCTCATTCAGCAGAATTTATGGAGCATTTATTTTACAGAGTGTCCTTTGGCCTGGAAGGATACAAAAAGTGAAGATCAAGACTGTGCTTTACATTCTAGCTAAGATGGATGCATTGATAACTACTACTGTAGAAATAATACGTGTTGTCTAAGCCTACTGTGTTCCAGATTTTGTGTCAAACAATTTTCCCACAATGTTTACAACAACTTTTAAGGAAGACAGGTGCTGTTCCCATTTTACAGCTAATAAAACAGGACCTGAGAGATTGCAAAAAGAAAATAAGACCTGTATCCACATACAGATGTGAAGAGTGACTTCCAGACCTTTCTACTCCTGTTGTTGGGTCATTGATGCTATCCAGTTCCATAATTCCAATTTATACCTGTATCAGAAATCCATATAACCTTGATGAAACTATGGATGAGTTTCAGATGTCTATGAAAAAACTTCATGTTTTTTTTCCTTAGATATTTGTCCTATTTTCAAAACAGTCTGTTGCAGCTTTAAAAGTTGTCCCCACATGAACTTCCTTTCCTCTCAAATCTAGGCCTTTATTTCCGATGTCTATTGGAAATCTAATTTTTATATCCTGCATGTTACTCACCTTGTGTTATCAAAAATTGAGCTTTTCCTTATCCTTCCCTCAAAGCTACTTGCTGTTCCTTTTATATCGTCTGTCTTGCTAGTTGTGTTCCATGTCCCCATACCCCCCAGAACAGCTTTCGGTCTACTTGAGATTTTGCTTTCTATGGTTTCGGTGACCTGTGTCATCTATGGTTCAAAAATATTTAATGAAAAATTGCAGAAATCCGTAAGTTTTAAATTGTGCTCTGTTCTAAGTAGTGTAATGAAATCTTGTACCCTCTCACTCCATCTGGCGAGGGGCATGAACCACCCCTATGTCTAGTGTATCTAAACTCTCTATATTACTTGCCCGTTAGTTATTTAGTAGCTTTCTTAGTTACTCCATGGGTTATTACAGTACCATGTGTTTGGGTATAGAATTTGGTTCTGTGGGAGGTTTCAGGCATCTACTGAAGGTCTTGGTATGAGTCTTCTCCTAAAGTGTGGGAGCACTGCACTACCACAAATGTTCCCACTTCTTCACTATCTCCTCCTCCCCTTCTTTCTCATCTAGGTTTTTTGGTTGAATTAGGTTGTTTTAATAAACAAGGGATTTCATGATATTGTAAGGTTGGTAATACAGTTTCTAACAGTTCAAAAATTTAAAACTAAGACAAAAATCCTAATTTAGAAACCACTCAGTTTTTTTGGTGAAGAGCAGTAAACATAAAACAGTAATTTTAAATTACAAAATAATTGCAATGAGGTTTTTTGATAATATAATTATGACTTTTTAAAATTCATTTATTCATATGTACATACATTGTTTGGGCCATTTCTTCCCCGTGCATCCCACCCTACCTCCCTCGAAGTGAGTTTTGTGTTCATCAAAAACGCTGTTTGTCCTCGTGGTTAAGTGCAGGGTATACATTATTGAGCAAAACATACCTGGTTCTTACCTGCTTCAAGCTTATGGGTCATTAAAGTTGAAAACAAAGATGTATAATTATAAACTGCAGCAAGGGCTATGTAGGAGACAAACAGATGCTAAAACAGTAATGGGAAATATCCTTGATAGGATGATCAGGGGAGGTTACACTTAAGCTGATTCCTAAGGAATTATGAAAGAACTGGGAGGAAGAACATTTGAGACAGAATAGAATTTGCCAAGTACCTAAAACAGCCGAAGACCTTTGTGACTCAAGGATATTAGAAGACAGTAGAGGTAAAAGTAAGGAAGGTTGAGCTAGAGTCAATTCATGAAGGACTGTGTTTTTTCTCCTAGTTGGGATTTAATAATTTTATATTTGTTTTGTTGTCTTTTTCTTTTTTGCGGTACCAGAGTTTGAACTGGGCCTCACGCTTGATAGGCAGGTGCTCTACTACTTGAGCCACTCTGCCATCCCAGGAATTACATTATTTAAAAGGATCACTTTGCCTATACTATGGACTGAGGAAAATTAAGAGTGAAAGTAGAGGAACCAGTGAAGAGATAGCTGGAATTTATATAATGAAAGATGATGGTGGTTTGGATCTGGGTGAAAGCAATGGAAATAGATGAGCAGGGAATTTTCAGATGCATATTTTGAAATAGAAACGATAGGACTTGGCAATGAATTAAATGTGAAAGTTGAAGAAGAGAGTAGGTTCGGATTAGTAAGTGAACATGTCAATTAGATCCACCAAGTCTGAAGCTCAGAAGAGGGATCTGAACTAGAAATATAAGTGTGAAATTGAATGAGTTCACTTAGGAAGTTGAGAGCTAGAGGACATAGAGGTTTTAAGATCTTTAAAGAGATTTTTTTAAAGTGAGACTTTGTAACCACAGAGATAAGAAAGTCAGGAGAATGTTATTTACAAAAGTTAAAAGTATTTCAAGAAGGGAGTAGACAACCATGTCCATGTTGTTGAGAAGTCAAATAAAAAGAAGATAAAAAGTGTCCAGTTTCACAATAAATAGGTGACTGGTGACTTTAAGAAGAGTGGTGGGACAGAAGGGAAATGTCTGGGAATGAATTGGAAGATGAAGTGAAAGAAGCAGAGACCTGATATGTAGATAGATGAAATGTATTTACAGGGTGCTCAAATGACAGAGGAGAAGGGTGTGTACTCATTCTGGGGAGTTACGGTAAGGAAGGCTTTTAAAGGAGATGACCACTGGCCAGAATCTTAAAGAATGAATAAAGGGTGTAGGGTATGAGAAAAGAAAATAAGGCAAATTTAAGTGACAGAAGGCAAGTTTTTGGTGGCGCATAAAGTTCTAGGAAGAGGTAGTGGTAAATTGAACTGAAGGGGTAGACAGCCATATTATCAAGAATCTTGCTGCTATAATCAAAGAGTTATTTATTGAGCGTTAACTGTGTAGCAGGGACTGCCAAACCTTCATATACATTATCCCATTTAGTCTTGCTAGATGACTTGCAAGTTTAGTTCTTTATCATTATTTTATCCGTAAGGATCCAGAAACTTAAGTGGTTAAGTAACTTTCCCAAGCTCTCAAAGGACTATGTAGCAGATTGAAGATTTGAGCTGAATTTAATCTTAACTCCACAGCCTTGCTCTTAACTTCTATACTATTCGGCCACGGTTTAGGAACTTCAGCAGAACACAGTGTTGGTAGAATTTATGTAACTTCAGATTTCCATTTTCTCCTGAAGAACTGGAAGATCTAATAGATGTGTAAAGGAAAAATTTGAGAAAGAGGAAGGAAATAGGAAATGCAGTTCAATTCCTGTTGTTAGTGCATGTAGGGTATGATAAGGACCTGAACTAAGGCAGTGCTAGCAATAGAGATGAAGAGGCAGATTGGATATGGTAGATTGGCAAGACTTAGTGGGTGAGTGATCAGATTTGGCAAGAGAGTATAAGAGAAAGAGTCAAGGAAGAGAAAAAGATAAACAGGTTTGGACATGTTCACTATCAGCAAATGTGTAAGATTTTTCAAAGGAGTTCATCTTCTAAATACTGTTTCTATCCTCACTTAAACTCATACATTAAAAATATTTTTGTAAGATAATTGCAACAGTGTTCTAATTGGTCTTGACCCCAGTTTTGGTTCTTACTGTCTCTTATTTATAGACCTTCGATAACTTCCTTTTGATTACAGAGAAATGTTGCAAAAGTCATCCATGATCTAATCCCATTTTTCCTTCTCAGTTCATTCCTTACTATCCTCTCTGATACACCGTGTGTTCCAACTACCCCAGACTTCTCAGCATCTTCCCCATTGAATACCTTTATGTCTTTAGCTCACACATAGCCTCTGTAAATTTCCTAGGTCCTGGAGACAGTTGTTCACTCTGTGCTTCCCCAGTACTTGATCTATAATCTTCTATTCTGGGTTATATCACATAGTCGTGTAATTATTGGCTTGTGTGTAATATGTATTCCCTAGGTAGATCAGGAACACTTTGCATACAGGATTTCAAATCTTGTTCATCTTTGTATATTCATTCTCAGCATTTTGGATGCTAGGAATTTAGATATAGAATGTTTGTTGTGTGAATAAATAAATGCTGTGGGAATTCAGTGGATCAAGAACTATAGGAAGCCTTTGTCTAGATGACTTTTCTGCTATTGCATACTAGAGTGCTGCTAAAATCTTTCATTGCCTTTAGCTCATCATTATAAATGTGAGTCAAAGAAATCATCCTTGTCATTATCCCCAACAGGATTTATCATCTGTTGTGTACCAGGTAGTTTTCTAAGCACTTTGCATGTATTAATTTATTTATTCCTCATAATAGTCAGATGAGGAAACAGGCACAGAGGAGTTAAGTAACCTTCCCAACATCAAATAGCTAGTAAATAGAGGAACTAAAATAAAATCACTGACATCAAATTATCAGTGCCATTTATTAAGGCCAGTGTGGACCTGATTTAAGCATTATGCAGGGAGCACATGTATCAAAACGTTACATGGTACTCCATTAATATGTATAATTTTTGTATTTTTATGTATCAGTTAAAACATAAATTTAAGGGCTGGAAGCATGGCTTAAGCAGTAGAGTTCCTGCCTAACATGCACAAAGCCCTGAGTTCAAACCCCCGTACTGCCAAATATAATTTTAAATAAATAATGTGGATTTTCTGCTAACTAAGCTCCTATAGGCACTTCTTAGCTCCAGGCTTGGGGTTTCTCTTCCCACTTGCCTTTCCACTTCTCTTCCACTAAGACTGACTTCAGTGAGCTAAAAGTCTTTCTGACTATAATCCTAGCTACTCAGGAGGCAGGAGGCAGGAAGATCATGGTTCAAACCCAGCCCAGGCAAATAGTTCACAAGACCCTTTCTCCAAAAAAACTCAACCCAAAAAAGGACTGGTAGAGTGGCTAAAGTGGTAAGAGTGTCTGCCTAATCCTGAGTTCAAATCCTAGTAACCACCAAAAAAAAAAAAAAAACAGATACAAGATGGATATTTTGAGAGATTTAGGGTTTGGGGGTTTTTTTGTTTGCTTGCTTGCTTACTTGTTTATTTTTTATTTATTTATTTTTTTAATAGTTTCACTCTAGGGAGATGGAATAATAACAAGCAAGAAAAACTTGTAAGTTGAGAGACCTCACATGAAAAGATGAGAACGTCTTTAGGGGTGACCCTTAGACCTTCTTATATCCAAGAACCCAGGCTGTCTAGATTTGGCTGGTTCTTCCCCAAAACATTCTGGTCTTAGTTTTCAGGTGTGAAAGTGAGAACAGAGCAGGAAAGAAACTTGGAGAATGTCTGAGAGCTGCTTGTGTCTCCTTGTATTTGCATCTTAATTAGTCTGCATTTTGAAGGACCTGAATCTCCTGACTTCAGAGCATTGCCTCATACCAGTTAAGATCCCTAATAGTTATCTGTGTAGTTTTCTTAGGTTTTCAGTGTTATAAAATAACATCGAAGCATATTTTATTTTATGTTACATAGGCTCTTGAAAATCTGCGTGTTTACCTGTGTGAGAAAATCATAGCTGAGAGACATTTTGATCATCTACGTGCAAAAAAAATCCTCAGTAGAGAAGACACTGAAGAAATTTCTTGCCGCACATCAAGTAGGAAAAGGGCTGGAAAATTGTTAGACTACTTACAAGAAAACCCCAAAGGACTAGACACTCTTGTTGAATCTATTCGACGGGAAAAAACACAGAACTTTCTGATACAGAAGATTACAGATGAAGTACTGAAACTCCGAAATATAAAACTAGAACATCTCAAAGGTAAGATCTTAGGTATCGAAAAGTTAAATTAACATAACAGTGCTTTTAAAAATACAAAAGCAACACAAAAAAATCAGCAGTGATCATTTGCTTTCCAAAGGTTTAAGCTTCTGAATTATATTCAATTTACATTTTTACTAGATATGATGTTATTATTTTGCAAAAGTGTAATGTGACTCAATATCCTGTAGTTGCAGTAATTTAAGAATACCATTTACAGACAGTTTATTATAATGAAATCCCAGAATACACAAGGGTTTGTTTCTAAAGTCTTTAGAATATAAAATTAATCTATTCAAAAGTAACCTCTGAATAAAACACTATGCATTACATATTAAGAACAGTATATAGTTAGGAGACAGGAGGATCACAAGTTTGAGACCATCCTGGGCTACATGGCAAGACCCTGTTTCAAAAAAAAAAAAACCCAAAACAGTGTAGAGGGTAAACTATTTTAATAAGTTCAACTCTGCTAGTTTTTCTCCCACCAGGTAGTTGGCATGTTTTTATAGGACTCATGTATAAAATATAAAATACACACAAGTATAAACACTAGGCTGTCTCAGACTTGCAAGACGTGAGTGGCATGGAACAGAAACTGATAGGAAGTAGCAAATTTACCTCTCCTGTTTCAGTCTCACCACAGAGCACATACTCACCAATAGAATGTCTTGTAGAATTGCTTGCACACTTTAAATCCCCAGCTCTTTACCCAATCTGATTTCTCCCTGTCTCTCCAGAGCACTAGGTTAAATGCACATGCACTGTAGCCCCAGTCCAGCTGCTTCCGGCATTGGAACACAAAGAAATGAATAGTTTAGGGCTCTGCCCTTCAGAAACTCATAGCGTGCATATCTGTAGGAAATCCTGGAAGTTTCGCCTCATGAGCCATACATAAAAAGACAGTTTTTGTATTATGGAACAGAAGTTGAATATATCGTAAGGCTGAAAAACTAGCAGAAAAATGATAGGTAAACGTACTTTATAGACTATACAGGTTTTACCTGAAATTTGTCAACTCGGGAATTTCTGTGCCTGTAGACAACTGAATATTTGCTAAGCATAACAGGAAGGTAAATTGTGTTTGTGTTAATTCTTTTAATCCTGAGGCTATTTGTCCACTGTACCTTTTGGATATGTGATGGGACCAACCTCTGTCATTTAAGTAAGCAATTAGATTGAGAAACAGGACATTATCTATTTGGTTGTAGCTCTTACTTTCCCACAAAGTCATCCTAGAGCATTAGGCATAACTTGCCTGTTCAGTGCCTGTGTTTTCTCATGTTTGTAGTAATAGTGAGAGACTATCTCAGATGACATCTGAATGCCCTTTAAGTTCTAACACCAATATGATTCAAGAATAAAGTAATTGCCATTGATCAGCTCATAGAATTTTAGATATCCCCTGTTCAAATTTTGTTTTTATTGGCTAATACTATTTTTGTACCAGAATGCTAAACAGTGTTTATTAGACAGGTGTGATACCTATAATTCTAGCACTGTAATCCCTGAGGCAGAGGGATTGTGAATTCAGGGCCAGCCAGGGCTACATAGTGAGATCCTGTCTCAAGAAAAAAAGAAGGAAAAAAAACATACACACACACACACACACCCCCACACACTTATTTATATATACACACGTATATTTATTAGTTGTGGAAGCTATTTTATGAAAAATTTTAAGGGCTGAATTGCAATTTAAATTCTGATTTTGTGAGAGCCGGTTGTCAGCAGCTTACATCTGTAATCTTAGCTATTTGTTGGAAGACTGAATTCTGGAGGATCGCTGTTCTGCTAGCCAGGGCAGAATGTTTGTGAGATTCCATCTCAACCAATAGCTGGGTGCAGTGGTGTGTGCCTGCCATCCTGTGCTATGCAGGAGGCTGAGATTGGGAGGATTGCAGTTCCAGGACAACTTGAGCAAAAAATAAGTTGGAGACACCCCATCTCAGTGGGAACAGAGCACTCAGTGGGAACAGGGCATGGTGGCACTGGCCTGTCAGCCCAGCTACAGCAGGAAGCATAAAATAGGAGGATATCAATCCAGACTGGTCTCACATTTTTTGCTCTCACAGAGCAATAAGGGCTGGAGGCATGACTCAGGTGGTAGAGTACCTGCCTAGTGAGTGCAAAGCTCTGAGTTCAAACCCCCAAATAGCCAAAATATGTAATAAATAAATAAATAAATTCTGGTTGTGTGGTAACTAGTTTATAATCTTTAAGAAGTTATAAGGTGAAGGGGACTCCCTTTGTTTTATTTACTTTTTCATTTGCATCTGAATAATTTTATTGTAGGACTGAAATGTAGCAGCTGTGAGCCTTTTCCAGATGGAGCCACAAACAGCCTTTCTAGGTCAAATTCAAATGAGAGTAATTTCTCTGAAAAACTTCGAGCATCCACTGTCATGTACCATCCGGAAGGAGAATCCAGCACAGCTCCCTTTTTTTCTACTGATTCTTCTTTGAATTTGCCTGTCCTGGAAGTAGGCAGAACTGAAAATACCAACTTCTCTTCAACTACACTTCCTAGACCTGGGGACCCTGGGGCTCCTCCTTTGCCACCAGAGCTGCAGTTAGAAGAAGGAGGAACTTGTGGAAACTCTAGTGAGATGTTTCTTCCCTTAAGATCACGTGCTGTGTCACGGCAGTGACACTTTATTGCCTTTTATTTTTTTTAATAGTGACAAAAGATGTTTCAAAGGGTATAATCTTTTTATAAAACTACTATAATGATTTACTTACATTTGATACACGTCTTTTAAAATACAATGTAAGCATATTTTGTAAATAGAGTTTTTTAGCATAAAAGACTCATACTTTTAGGGATAGCTATATATAAATAATGTTGGTCATACACTTCTCAGTATTTTCTGTTTTTTTATTTTTCAGATTTTTTATGTCGTAAGGCTGATTTTTATAGGGAATATTCTATTTGGGAATAGACTGTTATGCTTGGAATAATGTTTCTCATTGTATTTGTACTAGATATTTTCAGAGGCTAATAAAAAAAATAGTCTTTTCCAACACTTTAGCAGTAAATTTTCAGCAATAAGCTGCTCTTATTTGTTAACAAAGCCAACCACTAATAGCAGAGAATCTCTCATTCAGTTGGTCTCACAAGGTCTCCTCATTCTGGAGAAACTCCTAATGAAGTTTGAGCCACCTAAGGTCTATCTCAATTTGCCAAAATTCATTTCTTATTAATCTTACTGATACTGCTTTCTTTGGATTTTCAGTGTTTGCTTTATCATTTTTTTCCTAAAGAAAAATATCTTAGTATGAACCTCAATTATTACATGTAATTTGATGCGATTTAAAAAAAAAAAAAAACTTCTGAACTTTTTGTTCTCTTTTAAATGAGTACTACTGTATGGTTGAAATAACTAGAACAAGCCAGGCATGGTGGCTCATGCCTGTAATCCTAGCTAATCAAGAGGATCATGGTTTGAAACCCTGGCAAAAAATTTATGAAACCTCATCTCAGCCAATAAAAGCTGGGCACGGTGGTATGCACCTGTCATCCCACTTATTTGGGAAATAGGGGGATTGAGGTCCAGGCCAGCACAGGAGTAAACGTAAGATCCTATTTAAAAAATAGCAAAATCACAAAGGGCTGGAGGCATAGCTCAAGTGGTAGAGCACCTGCCTAGTAAGTACAAGGCCCTGAGTTAAAACCCCAGTACCACGAAAAAAAAAGATTTTCTAGTGTGTATATGACAATTCTATTTTATTTTTAATGCTATTTGGAACAAGCAGACCATAAGATAGAGTTATCTTTTTGTTGTATAACAAAATCTGACTAATTTTATGCATTTATAAATTTTTACTCTTATTCTTTTCATTTAAATCATGATTCTACCTGTTTTCTGATATCCATTTCCTATGTTTCTATTATTTAAAAAACTAAAAATGGAAGTTTGCTATTAACAATAAAAGGTTTTTTTTTTTAATAAGTGGTGCTACATTTTGGAGTTTAAAACAGAACCATCTAAAGCAAAATGTCTAATTTTTAGATGTCTAACACCTTTTTTTAATATAATATTTCACAGCCAGGTGTGTACATACCTGTATGCCAGCACTGAGGAGGCTGAGGCTGGAGGACTCCAAATTTGAGGCTGGCCTGGCTACATAGTGAGACCCTATTTCCAGGGGAAATAAAAAGAAAGAAAAAGAACAAAAAATTAGATAGGATGTACTTGGAATCAAAGATCAAAATTTAGATATATTGCAGCACTTATGTATGTGTTAGTTTTTAGCACTGAGTTTTCTTTTAGACTGTTAGCCATCTATATAGTCAATAAATTAGTAAACTTAGACTCTGAATTTTTGAATCCTATAAAGTCAGTTATTTCTTCCTTTCCACAGGTGTGCGCTACTATCCCTGACTTTCTTTTCCCCTTTAAGCACTATCCATTGCCAAAAATTGGACAGATTGACATGATGTGGTTTGTTACAGGCTGATTAATGCTGCAGGGAAAACATTGCTTTTGGGGTACCATATTATCACAATACAAAAACAACACCTTTAAGCTCACTTTTTGTTGCCTTTTGAAAAGTAACGTTACTTTTTGGTACAGTAGTAGGTTTACAGAACAACTGAGCACAAAATACAGAGTTTTCAAATTTGTTACAATTGATCCAATATTGACATATATTATTCCAATCTTGATACATTATTATTAACCAAAGTCTATAGTTTACATTCACTCTTTGTATTATACAACTCTGTGGGTTTTTACAAATGAATAATGTCCAAAATTATCTCTGCAGTTTTATCTTTTCCAGAAGTCATATACTTGCAATCATACAGTATATAGCCTTTAAGACTGGCTTCTTTCACTTAGCAATATGCACTTAAGGTATTTTAAGTCCAGCTTGTCAATCCTATACTACTGATTTTTATCTCCTGTTTAAGAAATTTTTGCTACATAGCTTTCTTCTGGGAGCTCAGTTGGTTTACTCTCCCGTTTAGCTGTCTGATCCATTTCAAAGTAGTCTTTGTGTAAACTATGAGGTAGAATCGACTCGCATGATTACTGTCGTTACACCTAAGCAATGGAAAAGGGAACAGGGAGTTTCAGGCTCCCGTCTCATCTGTGCCACTGGAAAATATATATGTTGTTGATTTGGGGGAGAAAATGCAAACCAAGAAGGCTGCAGGTGATCTGTAGTTATTAAATGTGATCATTCTCAGGGCTTTCTGAAAGGAGAACTGAATTTGAGTACAGATAATACACAGATAACTTGACTGCTGCCCCTAAAATCCTCACCCTGAATTTGCCATATTATGTAAGGTATCAGAAATTGTCCTTTATTGCTGTGATTTCCAAACTTTGCTGCCTATTTTGGAATCAATAGAGGACCTTATAAAGACCCCAATCCGCAAGCTACATGCACCCCATAACAATTTAAATCAATATTTTTTTGGTGTGGAATTGTGAATGCTTCAGTGCAGAATCATATAGGTGATTCCAGTGTGCAACAAAGTTTGAGAACTATCTCCATGTTGGACGCCAAATATTGTGTTGGTGTTTCCAAATGCATAATTTTGCTTTTAATCCTAATAACACCCCACAACATAGGTTTTATTGTCCCTTTTTTTAAAAACATGAGAAACAAACTTTAAATGGTTTTAAAACACACAAGCCTTTAGGGGCACTGTGTGACTGTTATGCTCCCTTATTAGCATTTCTTAAAAGCACAAAGGTAAAAGTGGAAACATTAGGAAACATCAGACAAAATAGGGTATGAACTTAAAGGTAACTTGAGAAAACAATTGGTAGCTTTAACAAGGAAGACCTTTCGTAGAAGGTGACCTTGGAGCTGAGACCTAAATTATAAGGAGATGGAGCCAGCTGTGCAAGATTCTGGGGGGAAGAGTTCCAGGCAGAAGTAATACTGAGTGTAAAGGCCCGGAGGCAGGAATGAGTGAGGACCGCTTAGGCCTATGTGAGTAGAATATAAGGGAAGTAGGGGAGTTACTGTGGGGAGCCACAGAGCCTGGATTTCGCAGATGGTGAGAAGTGTCAGCTTCCTAAGAAGTAGTAAGGAACACGATCAGGAGGAAATTTTTGTAGTAGGATGGTCTAATGCAGTATGTTATATCCTCAGTGGGGTAAGCAGCAACTCATAGAAGTCTGGCCTCATACTTGGAGATTGATCAGATAAGTTAACATACTTAGGATAATGAGAGCCAGATTTTTCAATGCTGGGAGAGTGCAGTTATAAATATGGAAAGAGGAAATTGAAAGTATTGGATTAAAATTGGAGGTATAAGTATGAACTCAGGTTTTAAATATCTATAGATAACATTCCTTGGCTTTGTCCATTGAGAGTACCAGGAAACATTAACACCTCATTAGCAGTGAGCATAGTACCCAGATCTTGGCTTCTAAATACCATTTTCCTTAGTGAAATCACTAATTATAAGGCAAAGTATAAGATGAGCTTGGAACAGGCTCCACAAGCGGGCAAAGAATGGTGGGGACATATCAAACGGACACAAAAATAACCTGGAAGGGCTCCCATTGGCCAAATCTGGAACAATTTCAATATCATAATAATAGATTGCAACTCATTGAATAAAATGGTAAAGCATAAGTCTACACTAACAAATGGGCAAATAATAACAATTTGATGGAGAATAGAATGTTGACAGAGTCTCAAATATATCCCAAGAAAACCACTAATTACAAAAGGGAAAAAAGTGACTTTGCAGTGAAGAACTGGCAGATACCACCATGCCATGAACAAGAAATCAGTTCAAATCTTCAGTATCAGAACAAATCGAAGTCATGTTCCTCCCAACAGCAAGCAATAAAAAGCCCACAACATCATTCCTGTGATATTCTTCCCAAAAACTTATAACCTGAATCCAGTCACTAGAAAATATCAAACTCAAAATCAAGTATCTTCTACGAAGTAATTGGCCTGTTATCGTCCAGACATCAAGCTCATGAAAGCTGAAGGACGAGAATTCATTCCAGATTGAAGAACACTAAGAAATGACCACCATATATAATGCATGAATCTGAGTCAAATATATTTTCTGTTTGATGGTTCTTTAGTAGATAAGTCCTTGTTACAGAAAATACATAAGGAAGTAAAATTCTTTTTTTCTTTTGGAGATACTAGGATTTCAATTCAGGGCCTTCTGTATCATTTGAACCATACCTCAAGCCTTTGTAAAATTTTAAAGGGTTTTTTTTTTTTTTCTTTTTTTTTGGAGTGGCATGGAGGGGAAGAATGATAAAGCATCATTTCAGCAACTTACTCTTAACATGATTCAGTGGATAAAGTTTGTTCTTGCAATGTTCATTAAGTAGAAAGTGTTTCAAGATTTTAAAGATAAAAGAAAAAAAATTTAAGGATTGTTAAAAGTCGAGAAAAATTAAAGTAAAAATACTATTTGCAGTTGTCCAGGCAAAAGGTAAGGTAGTAGAGGTCAAATTGATCAATGTTTGAATTTGGAATATATTTTAAACTTGAAATGACAAGACTTGCAAGCTTTTGCCCTGAACACCTGGGTTAATAGTGGTGCAATTTAAAGAGACAGGGAAGACTATGGGAGATGTGGATAATGCGGGTAGGGAATGAAGAGTTCAGTTTTGGACATATTTTCAGTGGTGTGCTTGACACACCACTTCAAAACTTAACAGCTTTAAAATAACAATTTGTAAATATTTTAGGTTTTGTGAACCGTAGGATCTCTGTGTAGCTACTTACCTCTTGCTGTTGTACTAAGAAAGTAACAGACAATATAGAAGCAAATGAGTGTGACCAAGTTCCAATAAAACTTGCTAAGACAAAAGCAAAAATAACTGTTTCCAGTTCTTAGCTTGAGCTGGGCTTAGCTTTTTAAAGAACCATCCTTGGGCTAAACTGCAGCTGGATGACTCCAGATGACCTCACACATGTGTCCAGTACCTCAGCTAGGATGGTTGCACAGCTGGGAGTGGGTGACATTCTTCCTCTCCTCAACATAACTCCAGTAGGGTAGCTGGACCTTTTTACATGTGGCTTTGGATTCCCAAGACAACAATAGTGGAAGTACTTTTTCACCAAATCAAGTCACAAGGCCATCTCATGTGACACTCATGCACAGGGATGGGAGGAATTGGTGGCTATCTTTGTATACAATCTTCCATAAATGTGTTAAGTTTAAGGGACTTATGAGACATTAATGTAGGAAACTGGATATAGGAGTTTGGTGTTCAGGGGAAATTTCTGGACCAATTTTATAAATGTAGGAGTTGTTAGTGTAAAATAGTATTTAAAACCATGGGACTTGTAAATTCACTTTGAAATGGAGGGTAGATTAAAAAGAGGACAGACCAGGCCTGAGCCTGAGGTAGTCCTCTAATAGAGGTGAGACAAAGAAGTCAATCAAGAAAACTGCAAAGGGCCCTGGGAAATCGAAAGAGAACTAAACTAAAGGGTGTGGTCAAGTGAAGAGCAGGAGTTTCAAGCCAGGTGCCAG